TGCAGCCCAAAAAGCGGCCAAAAGCATTAACGATGGGTTTTAATGCTCGTTTGGCGCCAGCGCCTCACGCGTGGCTGCAGGCTCACGGCCACGCGTGTCAGCCCGGCCCCGCTGCGGCCAGCGCTGCTGGAAACGGGTCGGTTCAATCGCCCGGCGCTTTTTTTAAAGGGGGAAGCCGATATGTTGGCTCTCTGGAGTCGGCGTTTATTGAGATGATTATGCAAGTGATGGATTTTTGCCCCGAGGAGGGGAGAGGAGAGGCCTGTAGGTACTAAAATGATGTGTCGTTTTCGGGGCTGCAGGGTTGAGGGGCTGTCTGGTGCGCTATACAGCTTTTAGTATTCCCACAGACTATTTATTTAAGCTCTAGGGAGAAGAGCTTATGGTTTCATTTCATTACTACTTCACTTGTGGGGAAAAAAAAAAAAAAAAAAAAAGGCAATATAGCATCCCACACTCTTTTTTAAGTTTTCTGACCATTTAACATTAATGTCCATACTGAGACTGTTGGCTTCACAGCCCTGGGGAAAACTACAGAGAGTGGAGAGTCGACCGGCTTCAAATGAAGTTATTATGGCAACTGAGTAGTTTCAACTTGGGGAATATGACAGAGCTCGGTGCATAAGCAGCAGCCTCTCGTCTACCAGGAGCGCATTTCTGTCGTGTCTGAAACTCGTGTAAAACAGTAAGGTCAGTATTCAGGATCCTACCCAAGACCGAGCCTGGGATGGTGCAAATGCTTGTTTGCTGCTGTAAGTACGTGGGGAGTGAGGCTGTAGGTACGTCATCTCTCCTGTCTCAGCCCCCCGGTTGTTGTGGAGAACAACCCGAGGAATGAGCTGGAGGGGTCCTAAGCTCTATTCCATGAATTTAACTTAGTTTGGGTAATTGGTAGCAGCCTGGTGTTTCAGCAGGTAAACCGGGATGAAATTTGGTGTTTAGGATGTGGATTTTTGGATGTGAAGCAAGGTGGTGGATAGAGGAGAGAGGAGACTTGCAGGGTCACAGGTTGACTTGGCTGACAGATGCCTGCCAGAATTCCCTTGCCTCTAGGCTTGAAGGCCAGCTGACACCTCCGTTTGGCTTCTGCCACTCTTCTTACCCACACTGTTCCCCTTACACCTGTGTGTTACCGAGGGGTGTGAGGCTCTGTCCCTCAGTTCTCCCCACAGCCCAATTCCCCTTGTGCATGGACACTTCCCTCCCCCTGCGAGGCTGCTGCAGGGACACTGTTCCTGCGTTGCAGCGAGTGGGTGCCTGCAGAGGCAGCGATGCACCTCAGGTCCTGCAGCACTGTGTCAGGGCCCGTGGGATGGCGTGCTCTTCTTCTGAGCCCCAAGGCGGGTGTCTGCAGCCCTCGGTTGACATTTCCCACCTGCTGAGGCCAGCAGCGTGTGCGCCTTTGGAAATGTCCAGAGGCATGCTTCTGGACAGCCGCGCTAGCTGGGCTTTGTTATCAGGCTGTGCTCTGACTACAGTCACCCCCTGGAAGGGCTTAATCACCCCGTTGGTGTGCCAGGTCGTTATCAGTCCTGATGGGGCTGGAGGAGAAAGGCTGGGAGGTGTCCCAAAGCATACCCATGTTGTTTGTCAGCCCCGATGGCTTTTCCTCCGACACTGATATTTGGCTTGACAGAGGCAGCCAGAGATCTTAACCCCTGGCTGGGTGCGCGTTGGGTGAAGCCTTGCTGTGTCCTTGTGTCTCTGGCCTGGTGGCTCAGCTGTACGTCTGTTGGCTCCGGGATCCAGCCTCAGCCAGCAGCTAATCCTGGGCATTCCTCGGCGAGGCAGGCAAAAGGACCCTGGAAGGAAGGTGCGGGGTAACTGGGTCCCATATAGCTTTTATCCCCTTCCTCCCTGCTGCAAAGACCGAGGAGATTGCCCAGGCCACTTTGGATACAGTTGGGTCTTGAGGACGTCTCCTCTATCACTGTGCTCTTCTCTATTTGTAAATGGTGTGCGTTACCCCAGGGGAAAAGGGGAGCGAGCTCAGCGTGAGAAAGAAAAGGTCTTTGGAGCAATGGAGCTGATGCTACCAACCACCCTGGTCTCTTCTCCTGCCTGTCTTTGGCAGGCTGGGGGAGAGGGAGGCGGAGCAGCCTTGCAGATGACAGTGCTCTTCAGGAATCTCCTGCCATACATCTTGACACTGTCTCTGGGTCCTTGGGAAGCCAGGACAGGCTCCTGGCACAGTGTTTCAGCAGTGGCCTTTCTGTCTCGAGTGGGACATGTGCCAGTCCAATACGAAAAGCAGAAATGATGCCATCGGTAGCGCCCACAATAGCACCTGACCCAAAATAGCTTCCGAGAAAAAAATAGGGAGGCTGATTAGGTTAGACAGGCCTGAAAGAGAGCAAGATGTCCAGCTGACGATTAACAGGTGTAGGTCTGTGAGCAAGGGCTATAAATCCTACGTGTGAGCTCTCCAGCCACCCTTTGGGGAAAGACAAACGGCTGCGGCGAGCACTCGGGACCTGCCTTCAGTGAACCATGGGGCTCAGTGATGGGGAATGGCAGCAGGTCCTGACCGTCTGGGGAAAGGTGGAGTCTGACCTCGCCGGCCATGGGCATGCAGTTTTAATGAGGTAGGCAAGAAGCTTCCATCCTAAGAGTAAAGCTGAGAGCTTTTGATGCGAGACCAAAGAATGTGTATATTTAGTATGGGGGCTCGTGTTTGGCAGCGTTTATTTCAACAGCCTGTTTTCTTTGTAGTAGGGTGGTGGGTTTTCCATTGCTATGGTTTCTGGGTTAAAAATTACTCACTGAGTAAAGCGGCTGTGCTTCTGTCTCTCCAACTGTCTATGGGTGCAGGAGCAGGCCAGGGCTGCTTCCAAAAGATGGTGGGACTTTGTCACTCCCTCTGCTTCTGCTGGCAAAGCTCTGCTTCAGATCATCGTTGCCCGAGCACCGCGGCCAGAAATGCTGGAGCGAATTGTGTGTCCTGGACCTTCAGATGCTCTGCAGCAAGGATGTGGGGAGGCAGGGACGGAGAGGAGAGGAAAATCGCCTCTGTGACAATTTTCTCGGAATCTATGATTTCAGTAAAATTAATTGTGAAGTACTTGAGTGTTTCCCTCTCCCCACCTTAGTCTCACTTGGCAGAGCCCTGCCCGTCCTGCTTTTTGGCCAGAAATCTGTGTGGTAACACTGGTCCACTTCCTGATGACGAATTTGAGGTCTGGGTGTTAAACGAGACGCATCCTTCCCTCTGCTTCCCTCCTCCATTATTCTGGTGTCAGAGTGGGAGTGCTCATGATGCCTCCATCTGAGGGGACCCCTGCCTCCATGCTGTCCCTGCGGTCCTGGTCCCCCAAGTGGGGAACACCCCGGGGGCCAGCAGCGAGTCACAGAAACGCAGCCTGGGAGGGATCTCAGGGCTGCAGAGTGGGAAATGACATTGGGTGGGCATTGGATCCCAGTCTGTCCTTAAAGACCAGCAGGGATGGAGGCTTGGAGGACACTCTCTCCAAATCCTCAGCCTGTGGGCAGTACAGTGTCCTGGAAGGGCATGGAGACTGAGGAGAGCAGTGGGGATGTGGCATTCACTCCAGGGGAGGGGTTCCTATCTCAAGCACGGCTAAATGAAGAAGCCCACACCACCAGGCAAATTCACTGTCCATTCAAAGCTTTTTCAAAGATGAGGCAAAGCAGAGAGCTGGTGTATTTACCTTCTTTATCATGGCCCAATTCAGCTGCCATTTGAAGAAGAGGAAGGGTTGGGGGCAGCTGGGTGGCAATGTGATGGCTTTCCCCTCATGCAGTCCATAACAGGCATGCTGGAGGGGTAGCAGGAACCCGAGCCCTCCCCACCAGTCCGGCTGTGTGAGGTGGCTACTTTGGTTCTGGAAGTGGGACAAGACACTGAAAGCAGTTTCCCACTGAAAAGGTAATACCATTTTTCTTAACAGGTATCGCAGGGCAGAGCATGGTATTAAATAAGTAGATGACCCCCTTCTCCCCTGTGACTTTGTGCTCCCCAGGCCACCCAGGTCATTTCTTGTCCCTTCAAGGGATTTCTGAGGGAGGAGAGAGGCAAGGGAACCCCAGCAGGTCTTAGTTTAGAAATGTGCCTGCGTGTGCACTGTTAAAGACTTCTTAGGTAGATGTCATATCCTGGGAATATGTTTAGAAAATACTGATTTAACTGTATGTTTTCCAAAGAAAACAAAAATATACTCCTTGGAAGACTTTTCAAGAGTCTTGGGAATATATCAGCTTTGGCAGACTTGATTCAGCCAGACACGATGGAGGGAGATTTTTAGAAATAACTCCATCCCATTTCAAGGTGCAAGGTTTTTTCATCTCTCTGCATGGGACACAACCAGTGTCATGGCAAGATACAGGAAAAAAGGAAAGGCAGATGGTGGTGTGCTGAGCACCTGGTAGAGTACAGAAATTCTTTGGAGACCTTTGAAATGAAACGCCAGCAAAGGCTGGTCAATCGTTTACAAAATCTTTTTGCAGAACAGCTAGTGTTTTCCACGTGCTCGAGGTGTTTGTTAGTGTAGTTTAACCTGTACTTAGTTCATACAGTGGAGAACCTGGCCCTCATGGCAACATATTTAGGAGGAAGGTCCAGTTCTAGATGGGACACAAGTTCCAGTAGTCCCAGCACCAGCACCCACCCGCTCCCCCCCGGAGGGCAGAGCAAGTGTGCCGTGAGAGGGAGGCTGGTTTCATGGCTGAGGTCCTGGGCTGGAGCTGCAGACACTGCTGCAGGTAACATGGGTGAGATGCTTCACGGATGTGAGCTGTAGGGTCCTGGCTGTAAAAACAGACATTGCTGTCGCTGGTGCTTCAACTGGTTGGATAATGCCCATCAGAGGGTGTAATACCTGAAAATAAACTTGTGCAAGAGAGCTGATGTCTCTTAACACCTGATTATTAGACTGCTCCTAATAATCAGGGCAGGCAGCGTCCCCTTCTCACCCCGGCTCTAGGACTCTGGCAGGGAAAAGAGTGAAATTTCCTACTGGTTTGATTGCCAGCGGTGTCTGCATCCTGTCTCCTAGGAAATGCAGCAGGGAGGAAGCAGAGGGGACAACAGTAGCCTGGCTTTTAGCCACCCTTCCACTTTCTTGATTTAATTTCCATTTTGGGATCAGAGTGTCTATGTATAGCGCTACATGGCATGGCACCAACATGCCTGAAGGCCCCGTGGTCTTCTTACCCACTCGCTCCCAAGGACTCTCAGAGGTACTGCAGTTCCCAGTGGAGGAACCACAGTGCTGGCAGCTGGGCTGAGCTGGGAAACAACCCACCAAAGGGTGAAAAACACTGAAACCAAATTCAGAGTAGGGTCAGATGCTTCCCTGGCTTATATACATGCTAAAAGGAGTGACTGTGAATGGTGGTGATTTGGAAAAGAACTAAATTGTCAGAGTTCCCAGGTTAAAGTAGCTTCTACTAGCAAGGACTAGCAAAGAGATTTTGTTTGGGAGGGAAGCGGGTTATCACACCTTTGCCTGTCCAAATACTCCGCAACACCTGGAGCAGCTGGACCTCAGCTCTGGTCTGGATGACAGCTCTCTCAAGTCTCACAAGTCCTTCTGCTTTCGTCCACAGGCTCTTTCAGGATCACCCCGAGACCCTGGATCGCTTTGAAAAGTTCAAAGGCCTGAAGACCCCTGATCAGATGAAGGGCTCTGAAGATCTGAAGAAACATGGAGTTACTGTCCTTACCCAGCTAGGCAAAATCCTGAAGCAGAAGGGTAATCATGAGTCAGAGTTGAAGCCCCTGGCTCAAACCCATGCCACCAAGCACAAAATCCCTGTCAAATATCTAGAGGTATGGAAAAAGGCAGGGAATATTGGTGTCTGGTGTGTACTGAATGTGTGCAAGACAGCTATTGAGAGTTGCGCTTTTATTTACTGATGGCTGCTTGGACTTCAGTGAGCTCTCCCTCAAGTCCGAGGTCTCTGTGTACAGGCAGGAGGAGGCACAGAAAGGGCTCACGGTATGCAAATGGTATGTGAACCTCCAAGTTTAGATTTCCCATTCCAAACACCACATGCAGTCTGAGCAACCCTTGACAATAATAATCTAGCCCATGCCGCCTCTGCATGCCTGGGAAACTACATTACATAAGAACTGTCAGTGGCTGGACACGAGGGATGTACAATTTTAGAGTAAGCCCTGGAGGATCCATTGGAGACCAAGGCCCACAAAACTAAGTGTTGTAAAAACACAGGGCCTGAATTTTCAGCCTTAACGGATGAGGCAGACAAAGAGTGGGAAGGGCCATGATCTATTCAAGGTCATGAAGCAGATCAGCGTCAGAGCTAGGAATAGAGCCCAGTTCTTCTGCCCAGCCCAGGCTCCTTGCTAGCTAGACCTCACTGTTTCTCCAGAGGCCGCGGGAAGGGCTACTGAATTAGCTCGGAGATATTTCCAGGCTCTGCAACCTATTTCTTAGGATGGCTTTTCTGAAAATAAACCTTGACTGTCCCTTCTGTTTTTCTCTCTCTCTTTCCTTCCTCACAGTTCATTTCTGAAGTCATTATCAAGGTCATTGCCGAAAAACACTCTGCAGACTTTGGGGCTGATGCCCAGGCTGAGCTGAAGAAGGCTGGAGCTCTGCCGAAACGATATGGCCAGCAAGTACAAGGAGTTCGGTTTCCAGGGTTAGCACATACGCACAGAGAGACACCACGATGGAGGCCTGGCCATGCATCTTAGAATAGCTTCCCCGGCACTGTTTTGGACATCTCACAATTGGCCATCCAAGATGTGTGGGAAAGCTTTGATGAGAGGCCAAGAGTCACTCCAGGCAGCATAGAGGCACGCAGAGTGATATCCATGATAAACCGTTGTTTCCTGGCTTCACGTATACAAGAGAAATAATCTGCTTTTTAGGAAAAATAATGTAAGAGGTTATCTGTGAGCTTCTGCCTATCCTTATCCCCTTTTTCTTTCTCTCTCCCCAAAACCCAGTCTCATCCAAGAGGGGAATGGCATGGCCAGAGATGAAGGGATGTGGAGGAACAAGGGGACTGTTGAGGAGTGTGGTGAATGAGAGGGTGAAGGGATGACTCAAATGGTATGAAAGGGATGTCAGGATGGAAATCAGAGACACAGTGTCCCATTCCTCCCACAGGTGAGACTGTTAGCAGGTTACTGTGGACAGATTCCAGCACAGTATTACCTTGTTTTGTAGGGGTGAACGCAGTCAGTCAGTGTCCAGGGTCTGCCAGCTTGGAAACTTGCATTAGTTGCTAAACTCATGTTAGCAAACCTCTAAGGAGCAGTACTCCCTGTGATCCATAGGTTTCTGCTGCTACGCATCCGCAGTTCTGTTGCACTGGGAAGTAAAGTACATGTTTCTCAGAAAATAAAAATTCCTGCACTAGTGTCGTGTGTTTGCTCCTGGCTTTACAGGCACTCCAGTGAGAAGTGGAGGAGATGGAGAAGGCAGAAGGGCGCTTTGCGTATGTATCCAGCTGCACCGCATCCTGCGGTCTCAGTCCATGCCTTGAGTGGCACATGGCATCTGTCTCAGCCAGGGGACTCGGGGCACTCCGGTGTCACCATGGGGTCATGACCTGGTTACTGGTGTCTTCACAGCGCAAAACAGCAGCCTAGACTCAGTGCCTCGGAGCTGAGAGAAGCGCTCCCTGATTAAAGGCCATGGCCACTGCTGTGCTGGGGGAATGTGGTGAGGGAAGGCACTTTGCTTATTTATGGGGAGGCAGCACGTCCCAGCAGCAGCACAGCGCGTTGTTCCCTCGGGGCAATGGAAAACAGGGCTGCTTAACCCAGAACGAAGGTTGCAACAGCAGTGTATGCTCTCAAGACCCAAGCTTTGGTCTCTGTACCATTTTGCATTTTTGCTGAGGTGCCTCTGCAGTGCGTGCTGCACTGTGTTTGCAGGTGTATACCCATGTCCTGTGGGGGACCTTAAGGGACAGACACAGCAGCAAGGTGCCTACCTCTGCCCATTGCCCTCTCCCCATCCCGGTGCTGCGGTGAGGTACAAGTGACCTGATTCACAGAGATGGGGGAGAGGCTGAGGGCCACGTTTTCCCCAAGGGTTAGTCAGAAATGGTTGGAGCCTGAAAAGGGTTTTTTGAGTACAAAGTCTTGACCTGACACCCAGGTTCACAGCGGACCAGCTGGCTCTCCGGGAATTGTGCAGTTTCTCTGGCTGGACCTAGTCAGAAGGGCAGTTATAGCCCACAGCAAGCACTGGGGTCCTCATTCCCTCCTCTTCCTCCATCCCCACCACGCAGCTCGGGGCCGTAGCAGTAGGGTGCTGCAGTCTCTTCTGGCATACGCACTCCAGCTGCCTCCATGCAGAAAGCAAGGTGGAGGAGCAGCGTGCTGTCTTTCAGTATATATGCACAGGGTCGGGAGCATTCATGGCAGGGTCACATCGTGGCACAGCAGTGGGATGCAGCTGGGTCGTGGCTAGGGGAAATGCGTGGAGTCGACACGGCTGCTCTTTTCTGGTATGGAGAAAGTAATGCGCCTTTATCTCACAGAGATAGTGTGAGGGCAAGCATGAGAAAGAAAAATGAGGTGCTCAGTATCAGGAGCTACTTGCAGGGTCTGGTTCGAAGCACTCCCTGCTACACTGTGTGCAATGGAGATGGAGGAGGAGCCACCAGCTCCCTTAAAAATCAGTCCTGAACCAGCGTGATCTGCTGTGTCTTTGGTCAGGGCAAAGGTCACAAAATTGCAGTCTCTGAAAGGAGAAGGAATGAATTCCTTCCCAGAACAGAGCATCTCTGATTTCTTGCTCTTTACAAATCCTCACTTTACCTCTGGGAGCTTGCTTGGGGTTTCAACCTTTCAGAGAGGGTCACAAAAGCATATGCTGTCACCTAGATGAAGTTACAGCCAGGTGGTCCCTGGCTTAAGCAACTTGCTTCGTCTGACTCCAGCCCAGTCTGTCTGGCTTTGTGGGGAGGGCAACCTATTTAATTAAGGTCTAGGATTGCCTGTCCAACACAATAAGATTTCCTGCCAGTGACAACAGGCTGTGCTTTAGGATTAAAAGCTCTGCACAGGCAGCTGCCTCTGTCAGTCTGAGTGGGACTGCAGCCATCTCTGAATATTTTTATGTAGGGCAATGTGGTGGAGGAGGGAGTATTTGCATATATGTGGCGCCTAGCTACTGGTTATTAGGTGTCTGGAATAAATATCAGTCCACTGGGAGCACTGACCCTTTGATCTGCCTGCCGTACCCCCCTCTGTCAGTGCAGTAGGGACCATCCTTAAACCTGCGCTGGTCAGATGTGGGGCCTGATGTAGGATTTCTGTTTGTGCCCGTGACCCAGTGAAGATATGCAAGCTGAGGTGAACCAGCAAGTTCAGACAGCAGCAACAGTGGAGCTATCTCCAGCAGGTTCAGTGGGTTGGGATGCTTGCAGTGAAATCCACGTACCTGCACCTTTGCTACTCTGGGTACCGAGTATGCCCTCGGCTGCAGTTCTGACTTACTGTAGCGATATATGTAATTCCCGCACAGGGAGTCTATAAACCTCCGGCAACAGCCCCTCCTTCAGGGACAGGGGGACTTTCCTAGAGGAAGGGGAATGGTGGAGAAAGGATTTTTCAGCTCCATGCAATATTGATTCAGCGTTTTTGTTGGAGTCACCCTTTCCACTGTGCTACTAGCACATGTAGCTTTTCTGATTCACATATGGGACAAAGTCCCTTAGTGGAGATAAACTGTATCGGCGTAAACACAGAAATTTTCCTGCATCCTTTCCAGGAAGAGCTTTGCATAAAGAAGATGGGTCCCAGGGGCTTGTGCCCAGCCCCCCTCCCTTTTAGCACCATTTGGTGTCACATACACGTTCCTGGTCACATGATGGGACGTGGATTGTGTGGCTGCCAGCCTCCTTGCCCCAGCACGTACATGCTGACTAGAGGCAGGTCAAGATTATGGCTGTCCTATGCTTTCCATGCAGTCCTGCAATTTCTTTTATACTAATAATGCTGTTTCTGGCAGCAAATAGGTTATGCACCTGCATCCGCCCTTAGGCTGAAAAACATCCTTGCTGCTTGGCACTTGGCATACTGTTCTTCTCCCACTGCTGCGGTTTCCATTGCACGGCAGAGCTCGCCATGGCACCGAGCCAATGACCTGTCTGCGTTCTCTCGGGCTTCAGTGTCAGACGCCGGCGACTCATCAGGATCTCCGACGCAGGGAGCAGGACCTCGCTTCCCAGGCGCTGTGCAAATGAGGCAGTCAGCCCCAGCCAGGGTGCAACAATACTGCGGGCTGTGCTGCCAGTCTCCCTTGTCCTTACTTCTGCCTGCTGGTCCTGCCTGGCTCTAATACACCTGCCAACGTCAAGTGGCATCAAGGAGCAAGTGCTGGGAACCATACTATTAATCCTATGATCTGTCTCTTGGTAACCTCAGTAGGGGAAAGGGGCTCCAGTGACTAATTATGTTAAATATTTAGCACATTAGCATGAAGCTTGTGGCATTCTTCAAGTTTGCATCTCCCTGCAGGGCTAATGTGAGGAAAGGGCAGGGAAGTTTCCAGTCCACATCATAGTCACTAAACAGATATGTCTGGTTTCTGGGTATTGAAGCACAGACAGTGCCTAAAGGATGCAATGTCTGTATGACACTGTAATTTAATAAGGAGACTCAAATTCTCGCCTATGCCACATGCTTTCAGATGAGGATTATTTTTGTCATGATCCTTATGTTTTCTACCACCTGGCCAAAACCTGCCCTATATGCTAAGCCACTGAGGAAAAGAAGCCAGTGGTGGAGCCAGGTGTTTCTTTGATGTTGACTTGCCTGTAACGTTTTTTCCAGAAGGTGCATGGCATCAGAGCATGTCCTTCTCCTTCCTCGACTCATTCCTCTCAGGTTTGCTCAAGGCTGCATCCTCGCTTGTTCAGGCTGCACAGGACTTAACAATTTGAGTCTGTGCTGCTTCTCAGACTGAGCACACACACAGACACACACACATATGGATATCTATACAAAAGCACCAGATTCACAACACACATTATTAGCAAAGCTCCTCTATCCATATCTTTCAGATTCCAGCGTGCTTGTGTGCTGGTTATTCATTTGAGAGGATGATATATATTAGTTCTCACATTGTGCTTAAATGAAGTTTGGCCACGAAACTGAGTTTTGCTAAGGTCTAACCAAGAGCGAAGACAGACTCTGCAAGGACATGGCACCTGGAGAGTACTGGTAAGTAGGGGGCTGTTAAATTTTATGAAGGTGTGCTGGAAGGGTCAAGGAAGCCACCTGGAACTACAGTACATCAGAAGAGAAATCCCAATCAGTCTCTTTTATCCAACAGGGTAATAAACGAGCATTTATGAACATGAAAGAGTCACAACAATGCAGCCTTCTTGACCAGCACGTAAATCCTTCCCTCCCCTGTGATCATAGGAACAAGCCCATCTCCCAGTCCTGTGACTTCTATAAAATCCTTATCCAAATGTCAGTAAAGGTGACCTTGTGGCTTTTTAAAGCAGTACTTTATAGTCACTTGGCTGCACTGTACCAAAGTCCTTTCCCAGTTTGGCTTTCATCCCCTGTAAATATATAAACAGAACAGACTGCCTCCACCTTACCCTGCAGCCCTGTAGAGACCACCTGTGGTCAGCTATGTCAGACAGAGGCAGGTCTGGGGCTCTGCTGGGCAAGGCAAGCCCTGGCACAGGGCATGCCAGCATAGAGGGTAGCTGGGTGGACAAGGCAATGTGTATTTGGGATGGGGAGGGTATTGGAGTCTCCATCCTCCCCCCCCATGTCCCAGGCAAAGCATGTCACGCTGCGAGAAACAGCAGTTCAGTGGCCCTGACCTGGTTGAATGGTCACTTGCGCTATGCCCATGCAAATGCAAGTGTGGCGAGGTCAGTGGGGACAACCTGGAT